TTTCCTTAGTCAAAGCTGTTAACTCAGCTGATTTTCCTAGGTCTTTGTTTTTTTTTTTTTATTTCAATTTAAATTTAATTTGAAATTAAAATAATATATAATAAAATATTTTATAAAAAATATATATTTTTTATTTAAAAAATGCAGAGTTTAAATAGTGGAATCTGATGATTTGGATAAAAGAAACATACCTAATTCATTTCCTTTAAATAAAATTATAGTATTTTTATTTTTACCTAAATAAAAGAAAATTCAAACAAAGTCAAATACACAATCTAACACAGACTTTTTATATAACACGGAGCATGTGCAGACATAAAAATTAATTTCAATATTTGTAGAACTAATCATAGCTATTAATTAATTAAAAATAATTAACTAAATTATGATATATATATATATATATTAATCAGAGGTCAAAATACAATCTGTGTTGTTATTGAATTAAGTACGTCATCCACACATCACATGTCCACTATGTCAACAATTAAATAGTCTTTCTTTTTTTCTCTTTTTTTTATTTTATTTATTTAAAATATAACTAATTGAAGGGTAATAACACTGCTTTATATACATGTCTGTCTCTAAGAGTTTCATTTATTTTTTACATATTTATATTTAAATATTAGTTATTATATTAAAATGTAATGCAAAAATTTTAAAAAAAATTGCAAAAAAACTTTCATTAATGTTTTATAATACTAATAGAATGACATTTGTACTAAAAATTATATAAATACAAGGATATTTTCAATGTTAAATATAATGACGTTGTTGGACATGGGTCCAAAAGCACTTGAACAAGAAGGAGGCTCAAAGACAAAAGTGGTGCCAGAGCTCATTGGCCACGGAACCGCTCAACAGCAATGGAGCTTCAAACCTCGGAGCCAAAGACTGCTGCCTCCACAGAGCCGAAGATAATAGTTTTCATTGGATTGTGGTGCTTCCACATGGCCAAAAGCAGCAGTCTCCATGGACCTTAGGGCAGCGACTCCTTGGACTATGGCGACTCCATCCTGGAACAATGTTTCCATAAGGTCAGAAAGTGTTGTCTTCATTGGGTTGAAAACAACTACATTCATTGGACTATGGTACTTCTACAAAACAGAGGAAGGTTGCCTCCACAAGATAGAAAACAACAGCTTCCACAAATCATGGGATAACTACCTCTGTTGGCCCTGGGTTAATAATTTCATACCTAACATTAGTGGAGGGCCTATGCACTTTCATACTTTATTCAAAAAGCTCAATGGAACAAGCCAACAAGAGGAAAACCGAAGATTTCATTTAACTCAAGGCTATTGGGGATACATCCCTGTGGACCGGCAAAAAGTACGATGGAAACAAATCGGAGTAAGCGGAAGATCTGATCCAAGGGCAATGGAAGAAGTTCAGAACAAGTGGAATCCGGTCCAGAGGCAATGGAAGCGGTTGAGAGCTGACGGAAGGAGGTTACCAGGTAGTTAGGAGCTGATGGAAGGAGGTTACAGGGAACTGATGGAAGAAGACAGTTTGAGGTAATGGAATGAGGTTACCAGACAGTTGGAGGTAGTAGTGGGAGGTTATCAGGCGGTTGAGAGTGGTGGAGGAATAAATGAGACTGCTCCTTTTAGTGGGAAGAGACGGTTATTCTTTATTAGGATTAAAACTAGGAAAAAATACAACACACAGACGCACAAAAAGATAAACTCGTATTTTTCTCTAATTTCTTTTCATGTTCTAGTTTCGTTTTTAGGCATTTTAATTCGAATTACATGGCTTTATGTTTCTAGCATATTTTTATTCGCTTTCCAGTAGATTTATCCGAGTTTTAGTAGATGTTAGTTTAAATCCATTGAAATCGGTTGTTTAGGCTCGAAGCCTCGTATAAGATCGAAGCTATGCAGGCTCCATCGTAGGAGCCGCCCAAAATCCGACGACAGACAGACTCTTTGGAGTACTTCCGGAACCCACACCGACAAGTCGACGAACGGTCTTGGAACCTCCGAATTTTAGGATCCAACAGACACAAAAGATAATGACCCTTAGAGACGGACGTAGCGAGTATAATTTGAAGAATATGGATGTGTTCTTTTAATATTTTACATACACTCGTTTTTTCAAAAATATTAATATATCACACATTCATTAACTTTATACTATATCCGTCTCACTTAACGTATCCACATTTCCATTTTCGTCTGTCCATTTATTATGTCACTTTTCTTTTTTGAAAAGTATTATACACTTTAATCTCATTTTAAAATTTTTAATTTAATTTTTTTTTAATTTTAATACTAATTAGGCATCTTAATTTTAATTTAATATTATATTTATTAAATAATAATTATTTTCACTAATACATTTTTAATTATTTACTAATTATCCTTCTTCTAAATTCTTGTGTCTACCGTAAATGAGATACCATATATGGGACGGAAAGAGTATTATCTACACAATTCTCCATAATAACTTATAAAATAATAGACATTTATATTATCTCACAAAACAAATACACTGTATCTTTATTCAATGATATTGAGAATTTCTTAAATCATACTCTTGATTCGTTACTGTATAATATTTATATATATCAAACATAAACAAAAAAATTAGTAGATGTGTTTGTTTGTTTTTTTTTTTTTTTTTATTATTTATTATTTTTAATAAAAAATATAATATTATGTCCGTCACATAAAAATACTTTTTTTTTTCTTTAAAATATGAATATTATTTTGTACAAAATTATTTATAAACTCGTTTTTGTAAAAATATGAATATACAATATCAATATTATTTTGTAAAATAATTATTTATTTATTTATAATTAACACAAACTAATTTTATAAAAATTGTAAAATTTTAAATTTAGATAAAAAAAAACAGTTATTTATTAAAGAAATATAAAAATAAAAGATTTTATATTAAATATATGTAATGTTATTTATAAATTTAAAAAATTAAAAAATTATATATATACAATAAAATATAGATAAAATTAAGTAAAAAGAAAATTTAAGTAATATATTCGGAGATGGAGGGAGCATCTAAAATAGATTCTAATAAAAAATTTAATTCCAAATTAAAACCAAACAAATTAACCATATAAAGAGATATGATAATATCAATTATCTAGAAGTACGGAAGTTTTTTTATCAAGCAAATCTTATCATATATTTAAATTGATTCTTTATTAAGGATAATGAATTAATAAGAGTGAGTTATAATATTATTTTATTATTTTTTATATAATTAATAATATTGATAATTTTAAAATAAATTTAATATATATAATTAAAAAATTAAGATATATTTAAATAATTTAAAAATTATATTATAATAAAAAAATATTTTCAATATAAATATTAGATAATAAAATTTTTCTAAAATGCAAATTTTATATAGATTTAAATAAAAAAATTTAATTTCAAATAAAAAACAAACAAATTAACTAAAGTAACCATATAAAGAAATATGCTAATATCATTATCTTAAGTTAAGGAAGTTTTTATCAAGCAAATTTTATCATATACTTAGAGCATCAGTTACTGTTACCTATTTAGTTATTTTTATCATTGTAATTTTTATTATAACAAAACCTCATTACCTCTAATAAAAATAATAGTTATCAATATTTATTACCTTTATTAAGAACCTGATCTTCAACAAAAAAAAAAAAAAAAAATTAAAATTAAAAACTATCCAAAATTTTTTGAAATTTTAAAAATTTAAAGTTTAAATTTAACATAAATTATTTATAAATATATTTAAATTTCATTAATTATTTTCTATATTTTCATATTCAATTAAACGAAATAGCTAGTGAAAATATTGATATTTTCAATTAGTATTTAAATTAAATTGTTGGACATGATTTGACAATAAAAATAATAAGTCTTAAATTATATTGGTAATATATTTATTTTATTAGTTTATATTACATTACAATTCTTTTTTATGTTATTTTTAATTAATATATATTGATTTATTTTTAATTATTTCAATTATTAAAATTTATATAGATTAATATTTTAAAAGTTAAAATAATAATACTATTATATAAAAATATTATTAGATAATAAAAATATATAGAAATATGTATAAATGAATAAATTATTTATATATCATTACATGATAAAAAAATACATAAATAAATAAATTATTGTGAATTTATACAATAGTAAATGTAATGTGTTAGAGGTGATTTATTATAACGGTCATAAATGAAATAATTTGAATATTGAGATAAATATAATGTAGATGAAAAAAAATAGAAGAAATATTGGAGTAAAATTAATAACCATAACGGATGCTCGTATAATATTATTTAATTATTTTTTATATAATTAATAATATTAATAATTTTAAAATAAATTTAATATATATGATTAAAAAATTAAAATATACTTAAATATTTTAAATATTATATTATAATAAAAAAATATTTTTAATATGAATATTAGATAATAAAATTTTTCTATAATACAAATAAATAAAAATACATTTATTTATTTATAATTAACACAAACTAATTTACAAAAGAGATGTAATTTTAAATATAGATAAAACTATTTATTTTTTGAAAACATATAAAAATAAAATTTTTTTGAATGGATATGATGCATAATTTATATATTATATAGCTAATTAAATTAATTTATATTTATTAAAATATATTTTAAATTAGTAAAATTTAAAAATGTACCCATTGTTAGATAAATATAAAAAATAATGTTGAGATAGAGGAAAATATATTCTTTATATTGGATAATTAATTAAAAAAAAACATTCTTAAGATATTGTTATTTACTGGATCCATGACTTAGACGGGCCCACCATAAACATTTATGGATGTTAATTAATTGAAGGGTAGTCCAGTATTATCATTATTATTATTATATATAAAAAAAGATTATATCGAAAATAAACGATAATAATGACGCTCACGTGGACTAAATTGCTAACGCATTCTACTCTCTCTCTGTACGTAGTATAAAATTCCGTCTTTATTCACAAAACTTCAAACTTATTTTGTTGGCAGGCCTTGTTATCATCGCCTCGTCCGAAAAGAAACGTGTCTTCAGCTGCTTGCGTGCGCCACTGCCGCTCCTCGTCGTATTACTTTTGCAAGTATTTTCTTATCTTCTGGCGAGTTTTGAGATCCGATCGGAGCTGCAGTGAGGAATAAGTTGCGAGTGTAGAGAGAGAGAGAGAGAGAGATCTAGCAGCAGCAGGGAGTGAGGATGGCAAGTGCTGCGGTGGAAAACGATAGCTGCTGCGGGAAGGGGCCGGGATACGCTACTCCGCTTGACGCCATGGTGAATGGTCCTAGGGAGACTCTTATTTATGTCACTTGTGTTTATACAGGTAAATATCCATATATCTATCTATGAATCGAGGAGGTGTGTTTCTGCTTGCTCTTCGTTCGGTGTAAATTGATTTTTATTCGGTTTTTTCGAGTGTTAATTGGTGCTATCTTTGATTTGTGCCGAGGATTCTGCTTCGCCTTTTTAGAATAGTAATAATAAGAAGAATTGACAGGAATCAGGATGTGGTGTGGTGTGTTTGTGGTTGATTTTGTTTTATTAGTCGTTTAAAATGTGAAGGCGAATTCGAGTTCAAATTCAATTCGAATTCTCCAGAGATGATGGAATGGATGCCTGGAGAAGCGAATTGTGTGAAATGATTCAACAATTTGATTGATTAATTGTGTTGGAGAAGGTGTTGTTCTGAATCTCATCTGATCTGAGAGTGATACTAGTAGATATATATATATAGTGTAGCCTTTCTTCTTAATTCCATCCATGTATGGATCTGGATCTGGCAGGAACAGGACGCAACAAGGCTGATTACCTGGCGACGGTGGACATCGATCCAAGTTCGGCAACGTATAGTAGTGTGATCCACAGGCTTCCCATGCCTTACCTTGGGGATGAGCTTCATCATTCTGGATGGAATTCTTGCAGCTCTTGCCATTCGGATCCTTCCGCAGCCAGGCGCTATCTCGTCCTCCCTTCGCTCGTGTGAGTCACTCACTCTTCACATCATACCAACCTAATTTAATTATTCGTTTACCTTAGATTCATTCTTAATCCAAGCCATACTATTAGACTATTAGTACTAGTGTCTATAATCAAGGATAATTAATACCACCACCTTCTCCTACATGAGCTCACTTTAATTCATCTTAAATTAAATAATTATTCATTCCCTACTTATTTTAATTATATACAAAATAACATATATTAGATTATATGTTATAAAGATGTTGTTTTGTATATAATAATACAACATATACTAGCATATAATATAATATATGCTTGTGTTATATAAAAATATGTTTATTTATTTTTGTTATATACCATATAGATTAGGGTCCAATTATTTGTGCTGAAACTCCATTTTACCCTTCATGTAATACAAGTAAATGGGTCTCAAGGATTATACAAGTAAAATAAAATAATTCTAAAGATCATAAAACACACCCATATTGTATTTTGATAAGTCTTTCTGCTGTTGCTCAGAGATGATGATATGTTATAATTTCACTGAACTCACTTACAGATCCTGAAAATCTAGAGTTATGCTAACTTTCTAATCAGATACTCTTCAAAAACTAGGCCAACTATTATCCGCCTTCTCTAGTTTTTACTTCAAATTTGAATAATTCAAATAGTACAGACTGTGACAAAAAAATAATGAAATTTTGGTAATGAAATCATAGATAAAATTGTTTAAAGATTATTAATAAATAAAAAAATATAGCATGATTATTCTTGACGGAAAGAAAGAAGAGTACATTTGTTTGAGGGTTTGGATTTTGAGTTGAGATTTAAATAGTAAAATATTTTGAATTGTAATAGTTGTATAATGTTATATAAATTGATATTGACGTGATATTTTGAATGTAAATTAATTTTTTAGTATAATATAAAAAAATAAAAAATAGGTGTTCGATTTGATATTTTGGAGAAAAAAAATCAGAGGAATAGTAAAAATCCTAGAAAATCTCCCAAAAGAACACACCCAAATCATTTTCATCTATCATGTTCATATTGTCATTTTTGTCCACTCATATCACTTTGTGTTTTTGGATAAATTGTATTTTTAGATAAATTTGTTTTTATATAACAAATAATATTTTGTAATGAATTGTTGATTTTTTTAAAAAAGTGAATAAGGTGTATTAATATATTTTCTAATAACGCATGGGCTTTTGTTAAAAAATAGAAGCACAGTATTTTTTTTTTTTTTTCAGAAGCGGATAACTTTTAAAATACCTAGAAACATTTTTTCATTAAAATTATTATTTTATTCTTAATAATAATAATAATAATAAAAAATACAATTCTTAATATGATAATATAAAAATAAATAAATTTATATTATATTTTAATAAAAATTACAAATATAATTAATTATTATTTTAATTTATATATTATACTTGGATTAAAATTTAAAATTGAGATACCAAATTTAATAGAAGTATATAAATTTTTTGATTATACTAAAATTATTTAATATAATTTATAAAAATTTTAAAATAAATTATAAAATACAAATAATTTAATATTATATTGTAATTTTATTTTTAATTGATATATTATCTCTAAATTAAAATTTTAAAATATAAATAGTCAAATTAAAAATATATTTTTTATACTTTAATAATCATAATTATGCTATATTTTTTAATTTATTAATAATCATAAACAATTTTATCTATGATTTCATTACAAAGATTTCATTTTTTTTTTGTGTTTATTTTATTATTAATTTTTAATTTTTTTTTATAATGTGTGGCATAATTAATCTGAACTGAAAAAATATATAATAAAAATAAATTAAAATATATAATTAAATATGATTATAATGAATTAATTTATTAAGAAATATAAAATTTTAAATTTATTTAATATTTTTATAGAAAAAATACGAATAAAAAATTATAAATGAAGCTACAATAACAAATATTTAAAAAAATAAATAAATTAAAGTATAATGCAAACCATAAATAAAAAGGAGACAACCATGCTCGTAGGCTCCGAAATCCAAGATTAAATATTAAACAATCAAAGATTAATTCATGATTTGGAATGTATTTTCTCTTTTGAGTAATCCACCCGAGACTTGACCAGGTTTAATATTTAGACTGTGTAATGTATGGTGTTTTGTAATGATGATCTTGAATGTGAGAGAGTTTCTAGTGTAGATTACGATAATGGAAAAGAGTTGTTGAAAACATTATATATTCTTTCATAATAGTATGTCTCATGTCTGCAATGTTGAATATTTCTGTTTAAGAATGAAATTAAGCATTATGTTAGTAGGTCAAGAAACTAACTTTAATTTTGTTTAAAATATACAAATCTAGTGCATCCATTTTCTTCTATTGGAAACATTTAAGAAAGAGGATGGTGTTGCTGTCTGCAGCGCAGCTTCTATGGCCCGTCTGTTTCAATCTTGAGCATAGAAAGGAGAAACCTAATATGCTGCCTGCATCTGAGATAATGCCATGTTGTATGTTTTGTCCCATAAAAACAGAGGTCTCCATTTTGGCCTAGATATTAATTCTTTGACCTCTCAGGTCTGGTCGTATCTATGCAATTGATACCCAAAAGGACTCCAGGGCTCCCTCTTTGCATAAAATCGTGGAGCCGGAGGATATAATACACAAGACAGGATTGGCATACCCACACACTGCTCATTGCCTTGCTACTGGCGATATCATGGTTTCGTGCCTTGGAGACAAAGATGGAAATGCAAAGGGTAATGGATTTCTATTGCTGGACTCCAACTTTAATGTGAAAGGAAGGTACTGTCATTTAATTTCTATTCTGAATCAGATGAGACTTTTCCTAAGAGTAGCTAATAGTGGTTGGTATGGATATATAACGTGGTTAGAATACTAAATTACTGCGCCGAAGGCTTAATAGGAGCGTTGGCATTTTTTAGTATTATTATACATATAAGACTGCTCAAACTTCAACTGTTGTTAATCATATATAATATCCATACATGATGTGTACAGTGTACTTGCTGTGATTTAATAGTTTCCTTGTGTTATAATATACGATTGGTGGATCACATACCCTTTTTTGTTTTGCCCAACATTAGCCGTAATTGGATTTGTTTTGTTTGATATTGAATTATCAATCTTGTGGTGCATGAACATAATGGCCTATTGACTTGAAAATAGGTGGGAGAAGCCAGGAAACAGTCCCCTTTTTGGATATGATTTCTGGTACCAACCTCGGCATAAGACCATGATCAGCAGCTCTTGGGGAGCCCCTCTTGCTTTCACAAAAGGTTTCAACCTAGAGCATCTTTCAAATGGTCTTTACGGGAGGCATTTGCACGTGTACAGCTGGCCTGATGGTGAGCTCAAACAGACATTGGATCTTGGAGACGCTGGTCTCATTCCTTTGGAGGTAAATGCAATGCTTCTAAAGCTTGATAATATTTTTCTATGTATGAATTGAACCACTCTTTATATGCCCATCTTTTTTTCTGATTTGATTCCTCCAAATTCCTGTCCACCTCTTTACAGATAAGGTTCTTGCACAACCCGGACAGGGACACCGGATTTGTGGGATGTGCTTTATCGAGCACTATGGTTAGATTTTTCAAGAAGCCGGATGGATCATGGGACCACGAGGTATGTTTCCAAAAAATTTGAAATAAAAAATCTTGCTTTTCGATTAGTTATTTTGTTCGAATGCATAATGAAAGAACATTGCTATGATCTTATTCCACCACCCCTTGCAGGCTGCCATTTCAGTGAAGCCACTCAAGGTGCAGAATTGGATTCTACCCGAAATGCCAGGACTTATAACTGATTTTTTGATATCTCTAGATGACCGTTTCCTCTACTTCTCCAACTGGCTTCACGGCGATATCAGACAGTATAACATTGAGGATCCTGCAAACCCCCGGCTTACGGGCCAATTATGGATTGGCGGTTTGGTTAGAAAAGGAAGCAATGTGGTTGCTGAGGCTGAAGATGGCACAACCTACCAGGTCGACGTACCAGAAGTTAAGGTATCCATCACATTCCTATTTATGATTCAGTTTATGAAAGATTATTTGAATACAACTGGACGACCTTTTTCTCGTCTTTCGAGCATAAATAGGAACACCAGTTAAGGGGAGGACCTCAGATGATACAGCTGAGTCTAGATGGAAAGCGGCTGTATGTCACGAACTCCCTCTTCAGCCCATGGGATAATCAGTTCTATCCTGAAATGGTAGAGAAAGGCGGACAAATGCTGCAGATTGATGTTGATACCGACAAAGGTGGCCTTGCCATCAACCCGAATTTCATAGTGGACTTTGGGTCTGAACCAGATGGCCCCTCGCTGGCGCATGAGATGAGGTACCCTGGCGGTGACTGCACATCCGATATCTGGATTTAAGGGCTCGCGCCGCTCGGGATTGGCAATTATAGATCCAATTGGCAAGTACTATTTCAAATGTATGCTTCTTACAGCATGATATATCATCAGTTGGATTGGATATTGTTATATCAATGCTAGTCTCTGTGCTGATGTTACTTGAATCTAATCCCAGAATAAATTGAATCTTGTAGTTAATAATTGGCATAAACAATAAATAACCTACCGTTTTCTTGCATTTTCTTTTTCATCTATTGTTTTCTCATTATGATATGAGTTCTTAGATTATTAACTATGTTTGATGTTCATTGCATGTGGAATTTAATAAAGTATTAATATGTGTTGTCATTTTTTATTATTTTATATGTGTGTTGTAGATTTATATATATAATGTGTTGTCTGATATGTATCAAAACGGCATGGGGCATGGAAATCTTGATAGTTTTATTACAAGACATGTATTATATAAATATAAGGATGGGTACTCCAACAGTTGATGGACAGCAGATAAAGCTATTTCTTGGGATATTTCTATAGAGAAAGAGAGATGCAAGAGAAATGAAAACAGATGGATTGGTTGCTGATGAGCATAGCCCTATGGATAGTTACTTGTCTGGTCAGACTGTGACGCTGGGGAATTGGCACAGTCCATGGCCTGCTCGATCCAAACAAGAAAGAAGCATATAAGTTAAGAAGAAGAAGAAGGAGGAGGAGGAGGAGGCATAGATAGGGTTGCTTACTGGGGTCGACGGTGGTCTGAGTTGCAACGCCGTTGAAGAAACAAGATGCGCCGGCGTTCCTATACTGAGCCCAGTAGGAGCTGAATGCGTAGCTGGCATGTGCATTAACTGATATGGGCTCGTAGCACGGCTTCCCTGGGGCCAGCTTGCTGCACGTGCCATTCACATGCCGGCAAGCAAAGTCCAATGCTGGGGTTAAGTCGACCTCGCTAGCATTGTTGGCAGCCACGCACCAGAGCTTGCCCTTGTACGGCTCGTTGCTCACCGGCTTCGGAGAATGCCTGTACTGGCTTGTCCCCGTCAAGTCGAGCTGCCACCAAACAAAGACATTTACAAGAATAGCTTATATATAGATTGATTCGTTTCAAATGTGTGTGTGCGTACGTACTTCGTAGAATGGATTGCCGTTGGTATCGAGTAGACCCCAGTGCCTCTCGGTACCGGGGCCTGGCTTCTGGTTTTCGTCGTATAGAGAGAATATGAAGGTGAGAATTTCGACCCCGGGCCTTGCTGGTGTCCCCAACGGTGGGTAAGTTGTCATCTTGGAGATAAGATTGCGGTTGTAAACTGCAGCATTATAGGCGTTTGCGCCAGGCTGATCGATGTCGCCTGAGTGAGGCCAGCCGGTTTCGGATATGGCAATGCTAATGTTATCGAACCCGGCTTTCCCCATGGCGAACGTGACCGAATCGAGCATTTGGTCGAGCATGTTGGTGTAGACCAAGCCGCTGTGGGGATCAACGTAGGTCGAATTCTTCTTGACCTTGAGCAATGCAAAGTCGAGGTCCATGTTCTTGGGGTCGGAAGACCATGAGAAGTAGGGATAGATGTCGAGGAAGAAGAAGGACTTAGTCCCGTTCAAGAATCGGAGGAACGACGAAATGACCTGGATAGGTATATCCGACCGGAAGCGGCCCTTTGACGGCGGGAAAGTGGACTCGAGTATATCCATGGCCACGGGCGACCCGACCTTAATGCTATGGATATCGTACTTAATTAACGACCTCTTGAGCCTCCGCATGGCGGGCACCAAGTCGAACCACATGTTGACTTGGTCGTAACTAAACACTTCGTTCCCGACGAGGATGAATCGGATTTTGGTGCCGGGGTAGTAGGCCAGGACATTTTCCCGTAGCCATTTGTCGGCTATCGACTGGTTGGAGGCAATGCCGGAGATTTGGTCGTTGGATATCATCACTGCGACATGTAGCCCTGTCCCGGCCAAGAGCTTTAGCACCTCGGAGTCGGAATTATAGAGCTTTACGTACGTGGCATTCATGGATAGGATGCGATCGATCGACTGGTAAGGAGACGGGAGGTTGTTCCCCTGCCGCCCATAGTTGATTCCTATCAAGTCCAAGTCCGAGTCCCACGCGCCTGACAAGACAAAACCACTTCTCCTAAGCATAACTAATCCTAAAAAAGATAACAAATTTAAACAAGAAAGAGCAAGCGAGTATGGCAGGCATTACACGAGAGTGTGAAGAGACAACACAAGGACCAGGTCCAAACCACGATGTTCTTCGTCTTCGTCTTCATCTTCATCTTCATCCGAACCAAGGGGGAATAAGACAAGAGTGAGTGAGATTTTGATGTGAATAACAAGACAAGATTGGGGACCTATAAATACATGTTGTGTGAAAGTAGTCAAGAGTTAAAGAAGAAGAAGAAGCTGTTGAACAACCTTAAATTTAGTAATGGTGAATGATCTTTGTAATAGCAGCAGCTTTTTGATTTATTCTTTCATGTTTGTTGTTACGCAAAAGGGAAGTAGGTTTGGATTCACTTTATTTTTCATTTTTATTAAGAAGAAGAGATCTAAGATATGTGATGCATGTGATCAAACCAATCCAATAATATATGTATATAATATGTTTGCTTACGACTAAAAAGGCAAAGATTGTGGCAAGTATACAGTTATTAGGACATTTTGGTTTGTTTTGATGTTTATGTATTAAAAATAATTATGTTGGATAATATAAAAACTAATTATGAAATCGTACTATTTAAAAATATTAAGTGAACCAACCGTTTATCATCGATGTCATGTTCCATGTTCTTAAGTTAGTTTAGTCTCGTCTCATGTGCTCTGTCACACTAATTATAATAATACTTTTTGTTTCAATACATGGTTTGTTTTATTGTGTTCAGCCAAATGTATGGTTTCCACATTACTAAGAAGAATATTACTTTTGGTTTTATTGAAAGTTTTGTAATGTATTTAGGGTTTGTTTGGTTTTGGCTTTAAATCAAAATCAATATCAGTCCTTTGGGATAACTTATAATAAAAATACATAATTTCTTTCAATAAAACATAATTTAAAAATAATATTTAAACCAAAAAAACTCAAAAAAAAAAAAAAAAAAAAAAGTAAAAAATCCAAACACAAACCAAAATCAAACAAATCTTCTATTCACACAAAAATTGTCCCATATTTAGGCTTTGTTCACCAAGTAACACATGATTATATTAAATAGGTGTTGATGTATTTTTCCAACAATAAAAAGTAAAATCCGAAAATAGGAAATTATCTTCGAATTTGATATATTTAACGCCTAAGATTAGGAATCTCTAAACACTGTACGGTACATAAAATAAATTGGAAATGTAAAATACTGGAAATTTAAATGATGATCCCCGAATCACTGACTTTGTCGTCGTTTGAAGATGATTGAAGATACCCTGTCAGTTGCAAATCCTAATCTTTAAATATCCCTCAGAAACGGTACTTAAAACCGTCGCCCGAACGGTTACAACGCCTCTCCTCAACCGTCTGCCAACTTCTATCTGCTGACACGTATTTTCAGCCGACCAAGCTATTGTTCTCACTTGCTTTCCGCAGCATCCGATCTCCATAACAACTCACAATTCACTCATCCAACTGTGGATCAACCGACTTGCCTATCCGACCACCAACCAACCGACCTGTTGGTCCAACCGCAGACCTCCCGACTTGTTGGTCTAGCCGCAAACCTCCCGACTTGCGGACTATCCGACTTGCCTATCCGACCACCAACCAACCGACCTGTTGGTCCGACCGCAGACCTCCCGACTTGTTGGTCAAGCCGCAAACCTCCCGACTTGCGGACTATCCGACTTGCCTATCCGACCACCAACCAACCGACCTGTTGGTCCGACCGCAGACCTCCCGACTTGTTGGTCTAGCCGCAAACCTCCCGACTTGCGGACTATCCGACTTGCCTATCCGACCACCAACCAACCGACCTGTTGGTCCGACCGCAAACCTCCCGACTTGTTGGTCTAGCCGCAAACCTCCCGACTTGCGGACTATCCGACTTGCCTATCCGACCACCAACCAACCGACCTGTTGGTCCGACCGCAGACCTCCCGACTTATTGGTCCAGTCGCAAACCTCCCGACTTGCGGACTATCCGACTTCCAACATTCCGACCTGCGGACCTTCCGACCCGCCTATTTCCTTAGAAATACGTTTAGTTCACCCGCTCATCTCGAAATACTCCCTGATCAATCTAACATACCCAATTATAGGCCCATCTCCTCTTCTAGCTTGGGCTTTTTAACATAATTATAAATTTCATACTTAACAATAGGGTTTAATTTGTACTTTCGCTATACTTAATTAAATTGTGTCTCAAATCAAAGCGAAGATCCTTATACAAAAAATATACAATATCGTCCTATGAAAACAGTAATAATCCCTTCGTGCCTTAACAATCAATCAATCAATTTTTTTTATTTTGATCCGTCTCATAACAAAGTATCCATTTCATTTATTATCTACCAAACATTATAAATATCATTCCAATTTACAATATAGTACACAAATATTATTACAATACTAATAAATAAATTTGATATTTTAATATAATATTAATATTTTTAAAATTACGTGAAAAAGGTAAATAAATATGAAACGGTGGGAGAATTATGCTTTTCTGGATACGTGTATATTAAATGCCATAAAAATCAACATAATTAATTGACCGAATCTCGATTCCTCTCCAACTCCTTCCTCAAGGTTCGATTTCAATGTCTTCCAAATTTATGTGATTGAGTTTTTAGTTTCTGATTTTTTATTACGTTTTTCACCTTTGCGATTTATTTATTTAATTGTTTTAGTTTCAAACCCTAGGAACAGGTTAAATTGTATTGTTAATAATCAATCCTAACTGACTGAAAATGTATTCATTCCAATGATTTAATACGGAGATTTTTTTCTTTTTAAGTCTTGTATTGTTGCTACAGGTGAAAATTTGTGTTGGACATATATGTAAATCTTTTTCATACTGTTCTCAATATCTTGGATCTGTTGATGATGTTTTCTTGGTATTTGGGTTCGTTAGTTGCAGGCGCTCTAATTGATTTGTTGGATTTTGGTTTTTCTTTTTTTTTTTGTTTTTGAATGAGAGCAGACTTGCGTATAAAATAAACAAAATAAAAAGTCTATGGAAATAATAATTTGGTATTTTTTTTTAATATATATTTCAAACTCTATAATTATACAATCATATAATCATAATACGTTTATAAAAAATCAACATAATTAATTTTCTTTTGTTGATAACATGGACTCTATTCACTGCTAGAAAAGTCTAAGCAAATAATTTGAATATATTTTATGCCGTCAGTACTCTTATAAAAAAACAGTATAATAAATAATTTTTTTTTGACGAGAACACAAACTTTGATTCGTTAAAGCAAAAGAAGAGTTTATGCAAATAATAAGATGATATTTTCTAAATATATATTTTATTTTCAAATTATACAATCACAGTGCTTTTATATATATATATATATAAATTAATATAATTAATTTTCTTTTACCATAACTTTGTTTCGTTAGAACACAAAAGAACCTATGTAAATATTAAAGTATCATGCTTTGAGTATACAATTACAGTATTATTTCCCTAATCATGTTAAGAATTGAAAAGTACAAATCCAAGAGAAAGACAACAACAACGCCCCCATCGTCGGTCTTCCCCACTCCTTGTCTGCTGCCGATGAACTTTCCAGAAGGCCATGGAAAATTCTTTGTTAATTGCAATGACTAGTAAATGTTATTATAAGATTTTTAAGAAAGTGTGAGAGAGTATCTCATCCAATAAAATAAAACAGAATATCAACTCAAGAGAGTTGAGTTTTTCGTTTTGTTATAGATTTATTATTATTAATATTAATCTTTCTTTTTGAGGCAGATAAAAGAAGACATAAATAAATTTATCTATTTACATTTTCATTTAATATTAACAATTGAATTAAGATAATATTTAACGGATTTGAGCTAATTAGCACTATGTAATTGTACTAATTAACAGGAGTATAATATTCTTCCCGTCCTATTAAAATATGTCACATTTTTTTTTGGTTATCATATCCAAATATGTCACTTCAAGTTGTTGATATAGAGATTCAACAATAAAAAGTAAAATTCGAAGATATACTACGAATTTAAACTAAAAAGAGTTTTTGAGATTACAGATCCTTAAACGGAGTACATAATAAAGCTAATAATTGAAACATAAAAAAGAAATTAAAAATATAAAATGATGATCTTCAATGAAATTCTCGTAAAGTAAGATGTCCAGACCAATTCGGCGGCTCCCTTAGTTGGTTACAAACTTCGAATCCTGTGTCGGAACACGGTCAGTTATGACTATTAGCGACCTATTTGGCAGCTCCAATCGGTTTCTTCATAACCAACCGACCAATAAGTTTCAGTCGGATAAATTTTTTAAGTAATAACCCGACCAATTGCTTTTTGATGACCTTTTTAGGCCCTCTCTGGGTCCCATCAGTCCACCCAACCTGTACGCAGTTCAAACATTATGTCGGATCCATCATGGGCCACTTTCTTCTCCATCCTGGGCTGAAACCTAATTTTAAAATTTTGTACTCAACACCTGTCAAAAGAAAAAATTAACAAATTTTAATAACAACTAAATTTTAACTAATTCATAATTAATAATTTGGGTGTGTTTGGTTTAAAATTTGAATTTGAGGTTTTTGAATAATGATATATATTTTTTTTAAAGTTGAATAGTTTTCAATATAATATAAATATGCATTGATATAATTTTTTAATATGAAATTAATTTTTAATATGATATAAAAAAAAAGAGTTTCATTATATATTTTAAAAGAAAAAAAATGGTGAGAAAATTTAACGGTGTGATTGGTTGAAGTTTGGATTTAACTTGAATTTGAATTTTGAATATAATATATTTTTTTTAAAATTTGAATAGTTGTTTGATTTAATATAAATAGGTATTGATACAATATTTTAAATATTAAATTAGTTTTAGTATAATATAAAAGTAAAAAAATATGAGTTTGATATATTTGATAGTGTTTGAAGTAAAAATATTAGTGAATAAACTCTAATAGCGTGTTTAATTAGAGGTTTAGAATTAGAATTTGGATTTTAAATAATATAAAATTTAATTTGAATAATTATTTGAATCTTCACACATAGATATTAATGTGATATGTTGAATATAATTTTGTTGAGCCATGGAAATTAGGGTTTGGGCCCATGGGTCTGTGCGGTGGCCGACTAGTCGAAACCTAAGAGGTTCAGAAGGTTGGCGGTCTGGTGGGTCAGCATTCGGGTTCGTTTGGGCTAGTAGCCCACTGGGTTTGGGTTCAAGGACCAATCGGACACTAGCTCTGCAAATCTGTCGGTCCGAAGGCGGTTGATATTCGGACGCTCAGGATTGTTTCTACCTTGGCGGTTGGGAGGTTGGGATTTTTCGAACGGTTACTATACAAACCAATTCAAAACTGCCCGAACCGAAATGAAATCGCCCGAAAAGATTACGCATATT